GAAGAGCAAATCTTTTTTCCCCAGTCCTGCCACAAACCGATTGTGTGCGCAGTCCAGCGGTGTTGTCGGTGTCTTTTGGGAGTGGGAAGAGCTTGACTTGCATGGGGGAGGCAGCTTGCCGTATAGCAGAAACAGGTAAGGGGGGCTATACTGCACTCGTTCATAACTAATCTGCCACTACCTGAGATGGCTCTGTAGACAGAAGGGAAGACAGAATTTGAAAGCTTTCTCGTAGCCATGCTGCATGTTTTATCAGTGAGTTAAGAGTCCCCAGTGTTTGCTGGCTTCTGTTGAACAAGAAGGGGTTTAACCTGTGGTAAGCAAGTCTCAATTCAGTTGTGATTTGAATGCAAATGCAGAGTTTCTGTATGCTCTGTATTGACACATCTGGAGGCTTTAGTGCTATACTGAATACATGAGCTGGGAGAGCCAATTGGCACGAATGCAAAGGCTATCTACAGGAACGTCTGCCAAAAGGGAGACCAGTAGTTTCCAAGCCCTTCACTGCTGCCTGATGCATGTGACTTACCCTTTGGAACAAATTGGCCTTTTTGGCATGTTCGATATATGTGGAGTTCTTGGGAAAAGGTGCTAGTTAATAAGTGGAGCTCAGCTCCATCAAGGCTCACTTGGTAAGTGATGCAGTTCTAGGTGCTCAGGAAGTTGAGAAGCATTGAGCATAGCCAAAAGTACTGGTCCTGGGGCCAGTGTGAAGGATAATGACAGTAGCTGTAATCAAAGCAGAACGCTTCAAAAGTACCAAGAGTTCAAATTCCTTTCGGTACTGTCACAACCTGTCATCTTAGGTGAGGGCAGCTCTTCTGACCAGCCCCTCAGCTAAAGTAATGTAAAGCTGTCTTTAGAGTTCACCACAGCAATAGTGGGTAAGAGCCACCTTTTGACAGCTCACTAGTCCACAGGACTCCCATTGAAGGGCTGCCATAATTGGCTACACATTTGTCTTTCATTTTGTTGAGACCCAGCATTGGGTCGTAATCTCTGTCCTTCTCCCTGCATTCCTTCAGGTACAGGTGACTATGTGGGACACGGAACACCAACCAGCCTGCACCAGACGTTGGTTTGGGGGTGGGTTTTTTTAAAAAAGTATCTCATTGTGCTGGGTATGGTATGAATCATAACTGAAGAGTGTAGTTTCCATAGAATTGGCCTGAGCTCTATGTAGTCATGCATACGCTTATATTTAGAGACTACCAACTTATTTAAGACAATTAAGTGAGCTCTTGTAGTCCCCTCCACAATTCGGCATAGATGATGTTGCATAATTTAGTGAAGTTGACTTTAGCTAACGTATGAAATTTCTAATTGGATATTATCAGATTAAGCATACTTTTAATCAGATAAACTTTACATATGTTTCAAATATGTTTAATTATAAACCCAAAAGAATGTTTAAAATGCATTAGTTTTACTGTTTATCTGTTATTTTCAGTTTAGGGGATGACTTGCAGGTTTCATTTTTGAGTAATCATTTTCTAATAAGTACCTCAGATTTTCGCATTCCAGCTGAAGTGACTGAGGACTGAGTGAGGCATGCAGCGTGTTTTGAGTTTTTTTTAAAGAACATATAATTTCAAATCTCTTGCTTTTTCCTTTAAATTTTATTAAAATTCTAGGTTTTATTTTAAAGGGATGAAATACCCCATGTGCTAGAAGAGACAATTCTGACAATCCAGTGTTGAGATACTTTTTTTAAAATCAGAAATTGTGCAAGAAGTAATCACTTTCTGAATAGTGCAGTATTTCCAAAATATCTGATCTGTGAGTCTCCATTTTTATCTATCATCCGAGTTGCCTAGACATAGTAGGGACCATTATTGAACTAGCCATGTCTCTTTAAAGCACTGGTGTAGAGTAAACCTAAACCAATTTAGTATCCCATAGACACTTTAAAGTCAGGAGCTGAATAATTATAAACATTGGTTCCAACAACTTGTTATAGTTGAGGAAATCTCTGTGAGTAATTCAGTAGGCAGCAGCCCAGAGTGCTTAATGGATTCTTTGAAGAGTTGAAATGCATCCTTGAGCATGCACTGGAACGTAGCTATTTAAAACGTTAAAGTACTGGAATGGCTTTCTAAAATTTTGTGATTGCAGACATGCTGTGCATTAGCAGTGTAATCAACAGGAGCAAACTACTCTGATAAACCATAATTCAAATGGATCGTTTGAGATCCCATGTTTTGTCATGGAACAATTTTTTGTTTTCTCATTAAAACAAAAATTCTGGGTTTTCTTGCATGTGAAATTGCACTCCTGTGATCAAGTTTTATACTACGGGACTTCATTCTGTGGAAGTACTGCAGCGATTTTTAAAAGAAATTTTAAAGAACTTATAAACTCCCTCCATTTTTATATGCATCATCAGATTAAGTGGAAGAATTAAAGAAAATAACCCTAAAGAGGTAATCATATTCAGTAGCGACTGTTTGCTTTAATGATGTATTTACTTCCCTGTCATTTGTAACAGCCATTGCAGAATATTTTCTTTCTTAAATTGAACATTGAGGTTTTTCCATTTTTGTACTGAATGACGTGCACGGCATTATTATATAGCGATTTTTGTTGCTGCAGCTTTATTTCTGTTCTGTTCAATGGGGAAATCTGTTCATTAACATAGAATCACAGAATGGTAGGGATTGGAAGGGGCCTCGAAAGATCATCTAGTCCAACCCCCCTGCCAGAGCAGGACCACACAGGAACGCATCCAGGCGGGTTTTGAATGTCTCCAGAGAAGCAGACTCCACAACCTCTCTGGGCAGCCTGTTCCAGTTCTCTGTCACCCTCACAGTGGAAAAGTTTTCCCTTATGTTGATGTGGAACCTCCTGTGCTCCAGCTTGCACCTGTTGCCCCTTGTCCTGTCACTGGCCATCACCGAGAAGATCTCAGCTCCATCCTCCTGACACTCCCCTTTACGTATTTATAAACATTGATGAGG